TGCAGGTCCCTGCCTTGGCACCCCTGTGCCAGCACAGCCCCCCGCCCCCCCCAGCCCAGAAAGGCACCACCACGCGGGAGCGGGGATGCTGCCATCGCACTGTTGAAGCGGGGTGGGGATTTTCCCTCCAAAGCCCTGAAGGCTGGAGGGAAAACATCTGCTGGGGGGGGGAACACAGAAAGCTGGGCAGGGACCTGCTCCAGCAGCACCTTTGCCTCCCCCCAGAGCCCTCTGCCCTGCTGCAGGCTGACCCCCCCCACCCTTAGCACCTCTTCACTTCTTCCTTTCCCCACACCTAAGTGGGATGACTGCTCCCCCCATGTTCTTGGGGTGGAATGGGGTGCAGCCCCCCTGGGTGCTGCATAGGTGGGTGACAGGGTGCTCCATCCTCTCCCATCACGGGGAAGTGAGACATGTCGTGGGGCAGAATTTGTGCACCACAGGGTCACGGGGGTGTCTGCCTGGTGGAGGTTCCCCTTTTTGGTGGGTTGTGCTGCTGGGGAAGGTGGGGACGGCGGGATCTGCTGAGCATGTGTCACCCCAGGAAGGTGGCTGGACCGCTGGGCCAGGCAGCGCAGAGCGGGGCAGGATGACCCCGGGGTGGCCCCGGCTGGTGGGACGCCTTGAGCAGCACCCAGCCATGAGCAACCCACGAGCTCCGTCGGTGGAGGGGGAAATGAGTCACCATGAAAAGAGAAATGAAGGGGAGGGGAAAAAAAAGCCTTCTCCAAGGGCGAGGAGGAGGTGGGGGGCTGCCAGTGGCTGCCTGGCTCTTTGCAGGCAGTTTGGGGGGGCTGACCCCATTCTGGCTGTCGGGACCCCGGGTGCCTCTTGGTCCCGTACACAGAGGCCCCGCATTGTGCGGGGCTGCATGGAGCGGTGGCAGCTATTGTTTGGGAGGGATTTGGCATCCTGTGTTTCTTGAAGCTGCAGTTTTGAGAACAATGAGGTTTCCTGCAGGGGCTGGGGGGGGCAGTGGGCCCTTCCTCTCCTGCACCCCGCAGGAAAAGTTACTGCAGGGGGGGGCCCAGGAGGTCCTGGCACCCCTTGGTGCCATGGCTGGCATGGGGGCCAAGTGGGAGAGAGGTGGAGAGGGTTGGTGTAAAAGCTGTGGGTGCTTTCTGCCTGGGAGAGGGGTGGGGGGTTGGCCCTGCTGCCGTTGAGTCTGGAGATGGTGGCTTGGTAGGTGACGCTGGCTGCAGTGTCCCATCCCGCTTGCACCACTGTAGACTGGGCGCTGCCCTGACGCCCAGTGCCCCACACTGGGGATGCTGAAGGCTGATCCGTGGTTTTTCCTTCTCACACAGACATGGTGTTCTCTTGTCCCTCTCCTTTCCTGGCCTGTCCCCTCCCAGGCTTGGCTGGTACCTCTGCTCCTCTTCCCTGCTATCCTGGGCGAGGGGGCTGTGCAGGGAGGGTGTAGCTCCCCTCCAAGAAATGCAGACAGATTAATTAAAAAATGAAGGCTTTAATTTTTTTAGTTTTAATTGAATGTTGTGGTGGGGCTGGGAGGGAGATGGGGGACCTGTGAGGCCCCGATAGCCTCTGTGAGGTGACTTGCAGAGCTGTGTGCCCCTGTCCTGGTCCCCAAGGTGCCTCCTGGTCCATCCACAGCTGGAAAATTATGGGGATGTATGTGGGGAGAGGCTGGGGGGAAGATGCCTCATTAGGATGAAGCCTTTTGGTGCGGGCAACTAATAAACAATTGTCCCTCTGGTCTATTTATAGTGGCTGAGCCAGAGGATTAGTTGCGGGGTTATTTTTGGAGCAGATGAAGGCAGTTGCTGGACGGTGTTTCTGAGCTAATCAAGCAAACATTTTATGTCTCGCCTGTGTGGAGGCTTGTGTGTCCCCTGCCCCTCCGGCAGGGCTGGAGCCTGCTGGGGGAAGTACCAGGGAAGAGTGTGTCTTGGGGTGCATGAGAAAGGACTTGTGATAGGGTTATCTTGGGCATCCTTGGATAGTGTCCCACTGCCCTGGTTCAGTGTGTACCCCCAGCAGCTGTCTGAGCCCTCCTTGAGCCCCTGGGGGAACTGGGGACCAGCAGCAAGGTGCTGGCTGGACTTTGCATTGGTTGGGGCTGACCTCCTCCTCCACACACAGCACTGACCCTGTCCCATCCCAGCAGTGATGTGTCCCTGGGACCACAAGGACCACGGGCATCCTTGGCCCTGCAGCTGATGGGCTACAGTCCCCTGCTCATCAGCAGGCCCCCCATCCCCTTTGCTCAAGGCCTTCCTGACCCTTCGGGGGGCTGACCTCTGTCCGTCCCCAAAAGCCAGGCTGTGTGGCACACTGTGCATTTATGAGAACTTGCCTTCCCACCTCCTCCATCCTTTATTTTTCTTTTTCTCTCCCCTTTTTCAAGCCCCAAAGGTCACTTGTAGCCCCATCCACAGGATCGTGCCCTCCTCCCCTCCCATTGAGCCTTCCTTCAGAGCTGGGCTCTCCCCACCAGCCTCCCCGCTCAGGACCTGAGCAAACACGGGCCGGCCGGGTTAACCAGCGCAGCTGTATGCTAATGACCACCGCTGCCCGCTTAACTCTCCTCTGCTGAGTAAAGTCAACCCCGCTATTGTACCCACCTCCTCAAACAAACCACAAAACCCCAGCGCGTTTCTGGGCCGGCCGGCTGTGGGGTGGCACCCAATTTCCAGCTCACTTGTAATTCATCATCCCCAGCACTCAAGCTCCATCTTCCCCCTGTTGCTGCCTCCTGCCTTCCCCCCCTTCCCCAGCCCTTTTGTCTTTCTTCCTTTGCCCTTTTGTGCACGTCTGGTTTTTAATAGAGCTTGGCAGCTGGTTGTGGTTTCTCTCCTCCAGCTTTGTTTGCTGCCCGCTGATTGATGGCAATGCCTTTCCCACCCCCTGTTCTCTCCTCCTGCTTCTTGCCCTTCCCCAAATCCCAAGCCAACAGCAGCCCCCCCGCCCCAAACCTCCTTCCCAGGCAGCATATGCCAGAAATTAGTTGTGTAAATAGAGGCCTGCAGGCTGGCATGCAGCTCGGGTGTCCGGGGAGGAGGTAGGGTGCTGCCTGGCACCGTTGGGTCCATGCTGGGGTGGGCAGTGAGGGACTGTCCCCTCCCTGGGGCTGGCGAAGCACCCACCAGCTCAGCAACCCTGGGGGGACAGGGAGCAGAGAGGAGCCGTGGGGGTGTTGTGTGAGGGCTGGGGACGTGGTTGGCAGCTGGTGCCATGGGCAAACACACCTGCCTGGGCGAGGAGAGACGTTGGGCGGCTGCTTTGGTGTCACCGGTCGCACGTGCTGGCCACAGCAGCTAAAGTCTAAAGTTCCTGCTCAGATCGAGCCCTTCTCTGCACCCGCTCCCCGTCACCTGCTCCTCACTGCACACCCGCCTTGTGCTGGGGACAGCCCTTGTGTCACCCAAAATCCCCCTGCCTGCTGCTGCCCCGTGAAAAGGCCAGATGGTGGGGACTGGGGTTTGTGCCCTGGTGAGGCATGGCGTTGTGTGCCGTGGCCGGCCGGGACGGCTTGGCACCCTGCTTGGTCTAGAGCTGAGTGTGTTACGGGGACGTCAGGTGCTCTGGTGCCACTTTGGGTTTTGGTGAGGGGAAAGAAGTCACCGCTGGCATCCTGGAGGGACCGATCCCCCGTGCTGCCCGGGGGTGCTGTGTTGCACCCAGAGCCACATGGCCTCTGCCATATGGTTCTCAAACGTGTCTCATCATCTTTTTCAGACCTTCATCTTCACAGACGGGGAGGATGAAGAGCTGAAGAAGCAAGCACGTGAGTCTGTGGCCTTTGTCTCTTTGCGTGTGTGATCTGGCCAGGTCCCCTGAGGACCCCCCCAGCCAGGGAGCATGGCTAGCATGGAGCCTCTACCAGGAACTCTGAAAAAATGGTCAAAATGCCAGTCGTCAGACACTAATCTCAGTAGCCCTTGCCGTAGGGCCCTGGGCTGAGAACAAGGCAACTTGTTTCACTGACTGTGCCTAAAGAGCCCTCTGCCTGGGACCCCCACCTGGGAACAAATTTCCTTCCCAGTCAGCCCAGCCTATCTCCTGCATGATGCTGCTGGGGAGCACGCTAGCAGGGTGGGGTGCCTTTGCAGTTTGTCCCTGGGGTGAGCTGGGATTGGTAGGCAATGAGGCCAGGGTTTCCTGGGAGCATTTCCCTGGCAGCCCTTCCCTGGGGCCAGGGTCAGTGTGGTCTATTCTCCCCATGCAAATGACTCCTTTTCAGGCCGCCTTTGAGCTGGGTGAGCAAATAACAGGTGGCTGCTGCAGGAAAAGGCAGCAGGAATGGGGCAGGATTTTGGCGGTTGTCCTGGGGAAGCTGGCTCACAGACACCCCCTCACGCCCAGGGTGGCTGGTACGTGGCTCCCGGATGGGCAAGTTGATGTAGGGTGGTCCTAGTGTGTCTGCGGTAGCTGCATCCCTTGCTCATCCCTTCCTTTATTCCACATGAACACAAAAGCCATTCCCCAAAAAATTCATTCTTTGCCCCAAACAATGTGACGTGGAGGCCACCAAGCATCAGGGACATCCATGGGGTTTCCATCTCCCTGGCACTCCTGGGATGTGTGTGGTGAAGCGTGGCCAATGGAGAACGCAGGGAGGCACAGGATGCCCCGAGGCCGGGCTTTGACCCCCGTCTCTTCCCACAGGAAATGTCATCAACACCAACTGCTCGGCCGCCCACAGCCGCCAGGCCCTGTCCTGCAAGATGGCCGTGGAGTATGACAAGTTCATCGAGTCCGGCAGAAAGTAAGCAGGACCTGGGGGTGTCGCGGGGGTCGGGGGGCTGTGAGGCGGGGGAACATGGTGCAAGCAGAGGCCGTTTGCATTTTTTGGGGCTGTACCTCAGCGTGGGGCCCGGGGAGCTGCCCTGGCCCAGTGTGACACTGCTGCCACCGCAGGTGGTTCTGCCACGTGGATGATGACAACTACGTGAACGTGCGGACACTGGTGAAGCTGCTCTCCAGCTACCCCCACACACAGGACATCTACATCGGGAAGCCCAGCCTGGACCGGCCCATCCAGGCCACGGAGAGGATCAGCGAGAACAAGATGGTGAGCAGGGGGCAAGAGGTTGGGGCTGGCTTAATTGGGGTTGAGGTTTGCTCCCCCGTCGGCAGGAGGAGGTCTCACTGCCGTTGCTTCCCCTCTCTCACAGCACCCTGTGCATTTCTGGTTTGCCACGGGCGGAGCGGGGTTTTGTATCAGCCGGGGGCTGGCGCTGAAGATGAGCCCGTGGGCCAGGTAAGAGTGTTGGCGTTGCTTTCCCGTGGGTACTCGTCATGGTCCCAGCGGGGCACAGAGTGGCGACATCTTTGGGGATGGACGTTGAACCTTGCTCTCTTTGCTCTGCTGGGGGCTTGGAAACAAGCTGGGAAGGACTTTGGTTCCCCCTTAATTGACTTTTAATTAGAGCTGGGCACCCACTGGCCAAGCCCAGACCCTGCAGGGTGCCCACCTCCCCTGGGCTTTGCTCCTCTGCAGCCCCTCTTTCTCCCTGCAGCGGGGGTCACTTCATGAGCACTGCAGAGAAGATCCGCCTGCCTGACGACTGCACCATCGGCTACATCATCGAGTCTGTGCTGGGGGTGAAGCTCATCCGGAGCAACCTCTTCCACTCACACCTGGAGAACCTCCACCAGGTGCCCAAGACAGAGATCCACAAACAGGTATCCTTGTCCTGGATGCCCTGGGGTGGATGGAGGGGTTGAGGTGGACGGTACTGTCATCTAGTTTTGTGGTCTCACCTAAAAATTGAGCATCGCAGCTAAGATACTGATTGACATGCGACCAAAACATCAGTGGAGGGGGGAAACCCCATCAGCCCATCCCTTCAAGGTGATGCAAGGTGTGACTGGAGACTTTGGGAAATGGGGTGAATTTTGCAGCCCCCCCCCTCTGTGCCTCTGCTTGATCCTCATGGCCATGTCGGCCGCTTGACCCTTGTGCTTCCCCCCCAGGTGACACTAAGCTACGGCATGTTTGAGAACAAGCGCAACTCCATCCACATGAAGGGAGCCTTCTCTGTCGAGGAGGACCCATCCAGGTGAGATGGGGGGGACCCTGTCCCCCCCAGGCTGGGGTGCATCGGGGATGCCACCGCCCCATGCTCAGCGTCGCTCCTCTCCTCTGCAGGTTTCGCTCTGTGCACTGCCTGCTGTACCCCGACACGCCGTGGTGCCCCGCCAACGTGGTTTACTAGGAGGCGCGTGTCCCCTCCAACCTCGTCCCGAATTTCCCCGGTATCCGACGGGCGTGCGGGACCTGCGTGCGGGTGTGTCAGTCTGGCCTCGCTGTGAGACAGACGGACGGACGTCGTTGCTGTGGTATTGCACAGTGTGTGTGTGTACTGAAGGCTGCTGTGCGGCCCCTTGTCCCTTGCCCTGCCTGCCCGGCTGCCCGTGCCCGCTGCCTGCTTTGGCCAGGACGGTGGAGAGGGTCGGGTCCTGAGCACTTAACCACTGGGCACCCCCGTGGCGCTGGCGGGCCCCACGCCATGCGTGGGGAGCAACCACAGGCACTGCGGGGCTCTGCCTCCCCCGGGCTTGCTTCTCCTGTTTCGTTTTATTTTGTTTTTTTCTTTCAAATGTTAAGTTTTTTGGTGTGTGCCTCCCCACCCTTGTCTCTACCCTCCACCCTGTTCCCATAACCCCTCACCCATCCCATCCTCTCTCCCAGCCCCAAAATCTCAGCAGCGAAGCTCCGGCTCCCGATTTGGATGAAGGGTCACTGGCGAGTTTTGCTCGCGGGCGGGCAGAGGGCAGGCAGGGGCAGCCCCCCCAGCCATGGCAAACAGCGCTCCAGGGTGCTGCAAAGCTGCTGGGTGCTCGATGGCTGCACTGGAGGGAGACAGTGGGGTGGGCTGCAAGCTGGCGTTGTTAGCTCCGTTTCTAGAGCTCCCCCCGTCTGGCTGTACCATTGCCGGCAGCATTGATCTATGCACTATTTATAGAGACTAACGTAAAGACTTTCTATAAATATGGGGGGCGGGTGGAGGGCCTTTCCGGAGCCGCCGGTGCAGCGTGGGCACTATGTTTGAACAAGGTCTCCCTTCAGTGCCGCCTCCCTGCCTGCTCGCAGGCTGGGTGCAGGCAGGCTGAACACGGGCAGCCCCACACCTTTGCAGAGGAGCGCTTCGTGGTCCAGCCCCGGGGGCTGTGTGGGTGTCCCCCCCACTCTGCTGTGGGCATAGAGCATCCTCCAGCCCTGGCCCGGCTGCGGGTGCTGCTGGGGTGGCTGGAGCTGGCCAAAAGGGCACCTGCCATGGCCGGGCAGCGTTTCCCCACTGGGCCATTGCTCTCTCCCTGACAGGGAGGGATGTAGCCGGGGAGGGAGAGGGACCCCACAACCCCCAGCAGCTGCCCTGCCTACCGCCACCAGCCCTGTGCCCCTGGGGTAAGTGGGCTGAGTTGGAGCTGAATGTTTCCAACCCGAAGCTGAGTGAAAATAGCCCATAATGGGTGCGTTGTAAATATGTTATTGTGCCAGTATTTTTTTTACTGTGCCTTTTTTTAAGAAGAAAACCACATTGAGAAATATGTAGATTTTAAAATGCTTTTTATACATTTTCTGTGGATCGGAAAAAAAAAAAAATTCCCAACCTTTGATAATCTGTTTAAGAAAGAAGAGAAAAAAAAAAAAAAAAAAAGCAATGTCTTGTAACTATCACTTACCTTAATTTATATGTTCCAGTATCTGGAACATCACTCTGTGCTTTTTGTAACTAGGATGTGTTTAAAGCGATAGATGTGGGATGGGGAACCAGCATGAACAGTGTGTTCTCAGGGACTTGAACCCGATCGCTGCCACGGGGTTCCCGTGGGAGCTGTCACCAATAAAGCAACTTTTTTGCTGACCACAGTCACCTGGTCCTGGGCTCCACTGTCTCTTTATGGATGAGCTGTGCTCAACACCCCCCTGTCCCCCCACTGGTGTTATCACCTCTAAGGAAGCTCTCAGGGATGTACTGAGGATGGATGGTGCTTGCATCCCTCTTTTTCCCACGGGTATGGAGATCTGCTGGCCATTTGCAGCCTGGGGCCTGAGGGTCCTCTCCTCCTTCCCCTCCCCAAAAGGCTCGGGCAGGACTTGGCACCTCAGGGCTGGTTTTTCCCAGGCTCTGGGGTGGGAGCGGAGGCGGCGGGGCCGAGGTGAGAGCTGGTTGTTAGCATGGTGCTGTTAACAGCCGGTGGGCAGGCGTGTGCGTGGGAAGGTTGGGGGCTGTGGAGGGCTGAGCCCCTTCCCTCCTGGCCCTCCCTGTGCCCTCTCCATCACCGTTTCAGGCAACACCAAGCACCCACCTGCCAGTAACAAGCCCCAGGTTTCATGGGCTGTGGCAATAGCACAAGCTCTACTTCTTCCCCACCCTAAAGCCAGTTCTGTTTGTGCTGCACCAGTACCAGCTTTCACCTGTGGCCCCATCTTTCCCCCCCC